GGCGGCGGGGGGGGGGGGGGGGGGGGAGGACGGAGCCGCTCTCACAGCAGCATGTGCGGTGAGGAGCGAGAGAGGCGCCGGCTGTCAGATCCTGGCTGAGCGTGTCTCTCTCTCTCTTCTCCACGCTCGGCATTAGTTCTGTGACAATGGCTCCCTCCTCCGCCCTCCCCCACCGCCGGCTGCAGTGCTCCTTCACTTCTTTTCGGATCCCCGCTGCATACAGATGGGAAGAGCAGCGGGGATCCAGAGAAGCCCCACGGCGGGAGGAGAGGACATTACGATCACTGGTAGATCGTGATCGACCTTATGGGCACCCCTGATGTACACCATTGTCTGTAATGTTTTCTGCTGCTGTGTATCACAGTATCAAAATCTATTATATAACAATATCATGAATGTATATAAATCTTTTTACGTAAAGATATCAGTCAGCGTTCAGAATCTCCCACCAATTGTCATATTCACTGATGTAACTAAATATAACACATTACTAGGGCTGCGGAAATTAACGATTAATCCCTGGATTAATCGTAAATTTTTTTGATCGATCAAAATTATTTTGATCGGTACTCACATCTCCTCCGGCTTCAGGGTCTTCCGTCGGAGATCAGGTGACGTCACGGACATCGACGTCACCAGACTCCTCCCCCCTTCCCCAAGTGGCTCTGTCGGCTAACGAAGGGAGGGGGGAGGAGTCTGGTGACATCGATGTTCGTGATGTCACTGGACTCCTCCCCCTTCCATTCGTTACCCGATGGAGCCACTTGGGCCGGTGAGTAAAAGGCATTGCACACATCCCAACTCTCCCGGCCGAGAAACACTTTTTACCGGAAAGGTTTAATCTGCTCAATCGAGCAGATGAAACCTTTCCCTGCAATCGTTTTTTTTCCTTTTCTGACATCAGGAGCCGCCGCCTGACCGTCAGTCAGAAAAGAAAAAAAAAGGCATACTATCACAGGAGTGAGCTTGGAGTGGTGGCTATTTTACAACACACACAGGGACCATGGGGAACGAAAGTAGCCACCCTCCAGAAGGAAGGACAGTGTCAGCACACATTGAGAGATGATTTGAGATATTTATACACCCTTTGCATACCTCAGATGAGCTAGTGGCTGGGATCAAGAGCCGTGAAACTGTCAAACTGTGGTCCTCCTCTGAGCTAGCAGGGCTGTGTAGAACTGGGCAATCAGCAGCATATTCCCAATAAGCCCAATTGGTGTAGCTTTCTCCCTGCAGACTTGCAAGTAGACAGCTTTTCCATTGTTGCCCAAAAAAAGCTCTGTGCCCACTGATCTGGGGAATGTAAAGGGAGGAATACATAGCATAAGCAGCATTGAAGGAAGCTGTTAAAGTATTGAGATGCTTTAAACCAATCCAGGAGAATCAGGTTAATATTTTGTAGCTTTTTTTTTTTTCTAATTTCTGACTTTTCCCCCCAAAAAACTAAAAGTGTATTCCTACTTTTGCAGCCAAATTGGGATAACATCTACTTTATGTTTGTTATATGTAGGAATGCACCGAAATTTCGACCGTGGAAACATTTCGGCTGAAAATTGCACTTTTGGTGAAATGCCCAAAGTGTCATGATGGCCAAAAATGCAGCCGCAAATTCAGTGCATCCCAGCTTCTATCCTTCCCACTGGGCGCCAGTCTCTGTGCCTTCTGATGCAGCGGTCGGCACCCAGCAGGGAGGAGAGAGCGTTTCAGGATGCCGAGTGGTGGGGGAAAAGAGCGCCGTCAGTGTTGCAGGATGCCGAGCTCTCCTCCCGCAGCACCCGGCTCGGCCTCCTTTGTCAGGATGGAGAGCGCTACGATTGTTACAGGAGGCCGAGCTCTCTTCCTACACCTCCTGGCTCAGCCTCCTGTATCAGGTTGGAGAGTGGTGATTGGAGGAGAGCTCTGTGATGTCACAGGATGTGGAACTCTCCTCATGCACCACCCTGCTCTGCCTCCTGTGACAGTCAATTCAGGATGGAGAGCGGAGTAAAAACATTTAGCCCTCGTTCACACTTGAACGTTTTGTAGCGCGTTCTACGCTCGACGAACGCTCTACAAAACGCTCAAACTATCCGCTTCAGCTGCGGCGTCTCAGTATACTGCGAGCTACAGGTCGCTGTATACTGAGCCTAGGGTGTATTTCAGCCCGTCCCTAACGCACTACAAAACGGCCCACGCCTGAAAAGGTACATGTACTACTTTGGGCCGTTTTTGTTGCGCGTTTCCATTGGGATACAGCCAAGCAGCCCTCTGAAACGCGCGTTTGTCGCGCGATTTTTTTACCGCGAAACGCGGTAAAAAAATGCGCCACAACCGCGCATATGCAATACGCCTAGGTGTGAACCAGGGCTTAGCGATCAGATGATTGCTGAATGTTTGTAAATAACTGGACATAGTGTGGGATACTATGTCTTAGTTATGAATAAATAGGAAGCAATCTATATCACTTCCTCTTCATTAATGATTGTGGACATATTAACTACACTATATCCACAATTTATGAACTCAGTATAGAGGCTTCCTGTTCATCCAGTGCTGGGGCTGCAGAGTAAAAGATTCAGGACTCTATCCTCAATCTCTTTTTCTATTTTAAAATGGAAATATCAGGGGTCTGTTCAGACCCATAATATTTCCCCAGAGCCCCCGACAGTAAAGTAAAAAAAGGAAAATAGATAAAAATAAAATAATTAAAAAAATAATTGTAAAAATGTTAAAAAGGTTGGGAAAAAAACTTCATTTTCGATTTCGGCCTGACAAAATTTTTATTTTCGGCTACGGTCTCCAAATTTTATTTTTCGGTGCATCCTTAGTTATATGTTCCCATTCACATGCATTAACAGCATAACTGAAACAAAAGTAACAATTGCAAGTTACCTTTTTTAGATGCTCTTTTTGCAATCTCAATGACTGAAAAAAATCTGCTTATTTCTCACCCTCTGGGGGAGTTTTGTTTCAAATAATTAGCCCTGTCTGTACTATGCTGGCAGATTTCATTATCACTTGTAAACTAGATGAGCAGGACCATATCGTCTGTCCTATCAAAGGTTAAAACCCTGAGGACATTGTATGTTAATAAGGGTGAGCTCAGTCTGTCCTAAGTCTTTCAATTAGGACAGCCAGTTTTTTTCTGTTGCTGACATTGAGAGAGACGTTTTCAAAGTTCTGCAACTCAAACACATCTAAAAGGTAAGAAATATTTTTACATTATTTTTAGGTATGCTGTGTGAAAAGGAACACAAAACATATAGTGGGGGTTTTCGCAATTTTGGCTGCAAAAGTGGAAATACAATGTAAGCACCCAAAACCTGGTGAAATCTATAATTTCAATAAAAAATATTCACATTTGCTGCATTTTTCAGTTTCACTTCAGCATTTTCTCATGTCAAATGTCACAAATGGACAAGTAAAACGCATAATATAGCTATAAACCTGGCAAAATGCAACAAAAAAGGATTGTGCTGTTTTCTATATATTGTCTTTCTTCCAATAAAGTTTTGTGAAAGAAATGATTGTGCTGATCATTATAAATAGGCCAGATAACCTATGTATCTTATTCAAATAAATCCCATATCCCCTATACGCTGCTAACTACCCACCGCTGATTACTAAACTCACTAACTTGTTAAAAATCTGGAACACTTACCCACTTTCCTGGCTAGGGAGGATTGCAGCAATTAAAATGACTCTACTGCCTAAGCTATTGTACCCCTTCCGGGTCCTACCAATTTTTATTAAGTCCCATGTCCTGAGTTGTTCTTCAGACAGGATACCTAAAGAAGCTATATGTGTATTTTTGCATATTCACCGATCTTTTCTCTTGTTGTCTGCCCCAAGATTGTCAGTGGAATCCTGATATGCTGTTTGATGTACACGTACATGTCATAAATGTATGTATATGTATACTTTCATTTCAATGTTACATTCTTTTCATTGGGAAATGTTAAAAACCAATAAAATATTTTGAAAAGTAAAAAAAATAAATCCCATATCGGCAAACATTTATGAGGTAAATATAAAACTGTTAATTTTTTTGAAGCAAACATTGGTTACAGACTCAGTGCAAAGACTATTAACTAATTTCCAAAGACTCGTAACTCAATTCCATTTTCGATTTCTTGAAGTACCTTCATAGAGCCAGTAGATGTCACTCTTGTATTTTTTTAAAAACATTCAAAAGAACTAGGCACAGTTGTGCTTATGTATTGACTTTTACAGTTGCTAACCTTTGAAAGATGTACAATCTCCCCTGTCTTCAGCTGAATGCACTGTGTCTGATGTAGACTCCAGACCTCATTAACTATACCGAAAAGGGCCCTATACGCTCATCTGATGGGTATAGACTCTATACCCATCAGGAAAAACAGCAGCGAGGTATGTGTCTCCAGAATGATTACAAAATGGTATGTGTGTGTGTTTAGAACACCTAAAACATCATATATAAGTAGATGGATGAATTATTTCACATATATTCAACCTTTTCTATTGGCTATAGCATAATAGCACACATCAAAACTAAATGCTAAGATCCTTATCAATTAAAAGGTCTAAATGGTGGTCCTTATTATGCCCTTTGATTGAAGAAGTGAGCTGAGGACAGAGGTATCTAAGCATATGTGCAGTATAAAGGCTTCAAGGAGATCATGGCACTATGGTATCTATACATTTCTACCATCAGTATTTGTGCTATACGTAGGCTTGTGATAATAGATTGCATTGAATGGCTTTTTTGGAAACAAGTAGTAATTCACCTTATATAGGGCACCCAACATTCCCTGGCTAAAACCGACTATTGCAAAAGACAGGCTTTTGTTATCTGACCTTTCAGGCCTCATTGTTTAACTTTACCATCACAATCTTCCTTTGTCCTGACATATGATGTCACATGATATGTGATTGCCTCTTTTCCATCAAAACTGTTGGCCTTTATGTATTTATAATGTCTATATATATATTTTAGTAACAATAGGATCAACTCCCATTTTGGCTTCTAGACCATTAAAATACCAGTCAGGTGGAAATCCTAGCCTATCCACTGAGCTAGCCTTGTTAGGCATTGGACACAATATTAGTGCAGTAAGGCTGGATGGCAATACCAAGATCTAGATGAAGACTGAAGCAACACTGTGTGGGTGGGTGAGCTAAAACTGCCCCTGGCAGCCTTTCTGTTCTAGGCTTGACATTTGGTTGCCTGCACACAAAAATGCAGGCAGAAAAATAGGCTTTACTGATATTACCTTGATACCAATGAAATCAGTACCTTCCAAAATGCATATATACCACTTCCTGAACATTAGGAAACATGATTATTTGTAATAGTATAGATAAAAAGTAACTATATATAATGTTTTTTGCAGTGCTATAGTTAAATTCCCTTTTCTCTTCCCTTGTCTTGTCAATGCTGTAGCCAAGGGCTGTCCCTATAATGAGGCAGCCTGAGGCTATGGCCTCAGGCAGCATCTCTTTGGGTCACGTGGGAGGGCATTGCCACTCTGCTCCATAATGTTTGCAGTGTGCCTACCACCCCCTTTCCAGCCAGAGCATCCCAGGTTGCTAAGAGCCGGGGGGAGAGATGTGTAAGGGCCAAAATGGCGTCCCACTCAGCTTCTGGCACCCCCCTTTCCCCTCAGACACCTCAGGCGATGAAAAGGCTAGGGACACCCGTGCTCTTACCTGTATGGGTACGGACATGTCTCTTGAGGTCAAATGTGTCATTAAAACCTTTCCCACAATGTTCACATCGATGCCTTTTCACTTCACTATGACACTTCATATGACGATTCAGCATCCGCTGGTATGAAAAGCTCTTGTCACAGAGAGTACAACGAAACAGCATCCTCTGCTCCTCCTAATGTAAGATTCAGGAAATATTTATCATAAAACAAAGTTCTCTGTACGTTTGTGTCTACATCATTACCAAAAAATAAAGGCAATCACAACATTCTTATCAACAAGTTTCATCTTCATGTTTATTATATATTTAAGGTTTGTTTGCTATCAAACCAAACTTCTGCATTGTGTCAGGAACAACAGAATGACTTTAGGCAGATGTAGTGCTGTACAATATTTGATGTCCAGTAGATCTTGATGAAGTTAATGTGTACCTGAATCTAGAAAAGTGAAAAATGACTATTTTATATAGAGGGACATCTAGTTAATTGCATACCTCCCAACTTTAAAGAAGAACTCCGGGCAAAACTCTTCTTAACCCTTGCAGTGGAGCTACCTATGCACTGCAATTGTTAAGTGCTCGTTCTCATCTAGGTGCTAACATAAAAAAGTTATACGCGCCCAATCCTCGGAGCTGGCTCTTAGACCAGTCCTTCCAAGCCTCCCCCCCCCCCTTCGCTGCAGCGGTCTGAGGTCCTGTGAGTCATCACGTCCAATACACAATGTATCTGACTCGAGAACACTAAGGAACATATCATTTTGGGGTGGGAGGGGGCCTGGTTGTGTCATGTTTTCAATAGCACCACAGAGGGGGGCCCGCAGCGCAATTGCCCGCACCAGAATGCATGGTACTGGAATGCCCTGCGTTCCGGTGCAGTGCAATTGGAAAAAATAGTGCATGCACAATTTTTGCCGATCGTCCTGCATTGGAACGCGCCGGATATGGTGCAACTGCTCCCTTAGTGGACAGCATACAATGCAAAAATTTGTCACAGTCCCTGTGCTACTAGCAGGCTACTTAGTAACTAGCAACTGTTGACACAACAAACAGTTTGGTCAGATGTATGTGACAGCATAAAGATTTCAGAGCTTAAGATTATATAACAGTGCGTTCTACACTGCTGGTTAATGGAAGACAAAAGGATGCCCTGGCACAGGTGCTCAATGGGAGAAACAAAAAAATTGCCCCAATGTTGGTGTTCAGTGGAAGAAAGAATGCCCAAAGTCAGTCCCCCAGAAATCAGGAAGATTGGGAGGTATATAGATCCTTTTTATGATATGTACTGCAAATCCAAAATCTCCTCCTAAGAGCATCCTGTCAATTAATGTCAGTAGATGGGACTCTTTCTGGACATCAGATGCAGTCAAACAAGCACAAAGCCTATGCTGAATATTTCTTCACCATTATGGTGGTCTTCTTGATCTCCTTATTGTATGTCACTCGTCAGCATGCTCAATAACAAAACCTACTAAAAACTGCAATCTTAGCACGACCTGCACTACAATTCAGTGCTCACAATCCTCCAAATCCCCTTCACACATACCGGTAGTTTGTAGTAGGTTTTGGTTGATACCTATTCATTAACCATATTCCCTGAGTTTCAATGCTGGAATTACATGAACCATCATGTTTTTTTTACATTCAAGGTATATGAACAGTGTAGTCCTACACAGTCTTACATATCAGCACCACTACCCAATACTAAATTCTTTCCATAGGGCAATCCTCAAATTTCATGCCCCTCTTTACCCCATTGGCAGGCTCTTTTGTGCACCTACACCACTGGAGTTTGCCCTTGTTGCAGCACTCTCCGACTTGTCAGCTTCAATTGCCACTGGTTGTGGTAGGTCTGACCATCGTTGGCACAAACCTCAGGCCACTGTGGACTGCGCCGTCTAAGACCAAGGGAAGTCTGCTTCAGACTTTTTTTGCCGTTCTATTATCTGATATCACCAGAAACAGGAAGTGAGCATAGGGTTTCCCCACTCTCCTGTACTTGCATCAGTCAGATACTGGCATCAGGTGCTGCGACCTTGAGAACTGGTTCAAATCCCGGAACAGTCCCACAGATATCGGGACAGTTGGCAGGTATGGTTGATTGTCCCCAAACAGTACCTGAATTCCTCCTGAAAAGCAGCACTTTACCTCCTGTACCTCAGCACATTTTTCTGTAGTCTCATCACAAAATATGGAGTAAGATTTGGATATGTCACTACAGTGTTCCTCCTTGTTCTTCTTGCACTTCTCCTGTCATCATAAAGTCCTGAGATGAGGCAATAATGCCACTTCTACACAGGGAAACAGGGTGCAGAACAAGGTAAGTCAGCAATGGGGAAAGGACCTGCTGCAGTGAGCATGTAGTCCATATGAGTGAACACATGGATGGCATAGAGGTTATAAGGTGATCATTTAATTATTTATCCTGTCTGTCACAAGAACAATTTGAATTTATTGTGAAATGTTTGCAATTTTGTTTAAATAGGAACTATTTTATGTAAAGTAATACATTATTTTTACAGCGAAAAGGTGTTGCAATGTGAGCAACATTTGCCCCAAGTTCTGTGAATATGTTTATGGCAAAGTGGGAGAGTGAGTGTATTTAAAATAACCAATGGCCGGACCTTGTTTTTATAGAAAAGATATATCGACGACATCCTCCTGATTTGTAAAGGTACCAAGTCAGGTCTGGAAGAATTTCTCCGATATATCAATAAAAATATTTATGATCTTAAGTTTACAACCCACAGTGATCTGTATTGCATAAATTTTTTAGATTTAACCATTTTTAAATGGGAATAGGCTATATACTAAAACCTACTTAAAAATGACAGGAATGGCTATATCCGCAATAATAGCTGCCACCATCCAAAATGGTTGGCAAACATTCCGAAGGGCCAGCTAGAGCTAGAGAGAATAACAAGAAATTGTGTCCGAGGTGAAGACTATGTGGAACAGGCTGACTATTATAAATAGGTTTGTAGAGAAAGGTTAAAAAACAGATAAGTTGGAAACACTTGACACAGATATTATATTAATGGATAGGATAAACTTTTAGAGGATTGGGAATCCACAGAAGGAGGACAATACGTTTGGGAAATCAGCATTTATTGTGGATTTTAACTCACAGTATAGCGAGCTCGAAAAAATTATTTTAAAATATTGGCCTATATTAAAGAAAGATAAAATATTGGGGAGTATTCTACCTGAAAAAACAGTAATGATCTATAGGAAGCCTAAAACTCTGAGACAAAATTTAGTTAGGACTGTATTTGACCCTCCAAAAAAAGCCCCTCAGTACTTTTTTGGATTGTACCGTTTTTTTCCCATGTAAGAAAATGTATACCATGTCAGATCACTAGAAATAATAAGGAGCGTAAAAGGAAGGTTACCAAGTACAAGTCCGGGCCAAAAAATAAAGAATATACTATTTACAATGTATTTAATGCAACACCTTATATGTAACGTAAACGTACATATTGGAATGCTCTTGTGGCCTCCAATATGTAGGTAGGATAACTAGGATGTTAAGAAAGAGGATTGGGGAACACATTAAAAAAAGGTTTTAAAAATCATAGTGTCTCTAACCATTACTGTAAAGTCCATAATAGGGACCCAAAAGGGCTTAGGTTTTATGGTATAGACCGGGTGTTCAATAAGTGGAGGGGCTCCCGTCTAAGGAGGGAGGTATAAAAAAAATTAAACAAAATGTATCTATGAGATGGACATGCTTGCCCCAAAGGGTCTCAACACTGAATTGGACCTTAATTGTTTTTTATCTAATGATTAAGTCTTTCTTTCTGCATTTTGCTACTCGTGGAAGGATCAGATATGTGATTAGCCCCTTTGTTTCTTATCTGCTGTAATGTTAGTAATGTGATTATCTTTCCTTCTTAAGATGTGTATTTATGCAGGTTTTTTAAAATCTTTTTATATACCAGTTCTTTAGAAATGTATTGGTAGTTTTTATGGTGAATATAATTTTATTAGGAGATCCAAGTTGGTTTCAATGGGAACCTGTTTGCGTTTTGCTTCCGCTTCTAGGTTGATGCAGGATGTGATGTAATTTCCGGGTTGGGGCACTTCTGGCTGTGTCACTTCCGGTGTATGTAGTTTCTAGGGGAAGTGAGGTACGAAAGTAGGTGGGATATAATGATATACTGCGATATAAATGCATCTAGTTGCACCAGTTTGCGACTGAGGAAGTCGTTTGAGATGAAACGCGTTAAGTGAAGCCAGTTGTTGCTCTGAATCACCGTAAGACCATTTACTTGAAAAGACTGGGTCTTTGATATTCCTTTATATTTTGAATTTGGTTTTATTTGTTGAAATGTAATAAACGGTTTTCCCCGATGAGCTTTTTCTGCGTTTATATGTTGGTTTACGGAGTCAGAAAAGTGGTTTAATCATCTGGGATTGGAATATTTGGAAGAAGTTTCCTGATACTGCTTTACATCAACGGTCTGAGGTCCTTTCCCTTGGCAGAGTGATCACCACTATTGCACTGAAGCGCTATCTGACCCTAGTATGGTAAATAGAGGGCCACATTTCATCTGGTGAGTGCATCACATGTGCATCATGTGGGATTACAGAGGTGTACACAAATGTTTGAGGAGGAAAAGATGAACTGAGAAACTGATTACATTATCATTTTTTGGGGACGCACTATATACACTTTGTGTGTGTGTGTGTGTGTGTGTATATGTATGTGTATATATATATATAGATATATATCTATAGATATAGATATATATCTATAGATATATATCTATATCTATAGATATATATACAGTATACAATATATCTTTTATGTATTGTGTTTTTATGGGACTAACTGAAATTGATATCACTACAGGCGGATATATTTATGCACATAGTGGGGTGTTTGAATAAATTTATTGTCTATGTTTTTACGTATTATTGTAGCACTGTGTATATAATTTTTAAAAAGTCCATACGGGTGACTAGTCCTTTTTTCTTTGCCTGCCTTTTTTGGGCTTCCACAGTTCAAGCCCATATTGAAGAGTTAGGTTACAATGTTCGTGTATCCACAGCATAATTTACTAATCCCCTCCTTAGCTACAGTTTCCTTTTTCCATAGCAATAGGTGTAAGGTAATTCTGCCCACATCATAAACATATAGTGCTTCGGGGTTTCTTCAGCAGCAGGGACTATGTATATTTGTAAAGATAAAATGGAACAAAATGCAAGACTATCTAAAGAGTCGACAGGTGTTCTTTGCATGCTTACATAACTGTTTTGTTTTTTTACAAAAGGTAATCTGTCCCGAGCAAAAACTGCAAGTGGAAGGCCTGTGGTGTGGCTCAAGGGATGCAGATTAGTGGAAACATCTGAAGATACCAGATAACATATACCAGCACTGACAAGAGCCTGCTCTATGTGGAAGAGTCAGGGCCTGGTCACAGTAAGAGGAGATTCTTGTGATCAGCCGTGTAGCACATTGCTACAACTCAAAGTGACTGATACTTCACAATGTAAACTGATGAGCTCCAACATTCCACTAGTGATCTAATCCAGCAGTGGCAGATAAGTCAAGCTGAGAGAGAAATTATTTGTAGGTGAGCAGACCATGGATGGTCTGCAAATATTTAGGATGGATTAAAAAAAAAGTACATGTCAGGACAGTCCCAAGTCCATGCTGCCACCTCAAGCATTGGGAAGCTAGAAATGCACAGGCGAAAAAGCACCTATAATACTGTAGAAGGTCCCAACAGAACCTGCTCGGACCCAAATTAAAACCTAGGCATAGCATTACTCTTCTTACCTGTGTTGAAAGCCTTTCATCTTCTGTTTCAGGTAATTGAATGATGTTCCTTTCTGTCCCTCGATATGGGGAGGGTCCTGTCATGCAACGAATGTGATGAAGAGACAAATCAAGAGCCACCTCATTGTTGTCATACTCTCTTTCAACTTCTTTTCGGGCAACATACTGAAACGTCACTGCAGATGAAAACAAATATGGACATACTTAACACAAGGTGAGCAAGCTGTGCAAAAGGATAAGGGGAGCAAACTGTGTGAAAGGATGCAATTAAATAACAGTTGCAGCAGAATTACCCCACTCATCCACTGGCAATCATCATACTTGTGTATGCTAGAACATTTTCTAAAGACACACCCAGTACATAAACCATATGTAATGTTATTGCTCAGTCTCTTCTCTTCTGCACGGATGGCAGGGAGCTCCATGACAGATCTGTTTTAAGAATTTATGTATATTATCTTTTGTGGGTTTTTTTCTTTTTCAAATATCTTGACATAATCTGGATCATGAAAACATTGGGTCAGTGTCCAAGAATTCCTTTCTTAAGGCCTTTATAACCTGAATTTGTGATATAAATGTACATAACTACTCTTTGGACACGTGCACAGTTGTGTATCTATTCCAACCCTTAGGCCCGGTTCACACCTGGGCGTTTTGTAGCGCGTTCGAACGCTCTGCAAAACGCTCAAACACCGAAATCCCATTATTACCTATGGGTATGGTTCACACCTGGGCGTATTACAGGCCGTATGAACGCTCTACTAAATGTCCTACGCCCAAAGAAGTACAGGAGCTTCTTTGTTGCGCGTTTCCATTGGGATACAGCCAAGTAGCCCTCGGAAACGCGCAATCGCTGTAAAAATGCGCATCAAGAAACTTGCGACAAACGCGCATATTCGATACGCCTAGGTGTGAACCCAGCCTTAGGCTTAAGGATGCTTTGGCTTCAGAAAGCCTAAGGACAAAAAAAAAAAGTGATTTCACCTGATCCTGGTCATAACTTTTGTAACTTTTTTTTAGCACCTAGACCAAACCTAGCACTTAACCCTTGCAGTGTTGGGGTAGCATCTATATTTGTATCCCCCCCCCCCCTCCTTCCCTGACCCTCAAGGGCATACGAGGGACCCCATAGGCAGGGTGGGCCAGCATTTCACCTCAGGGTCTGGTCCTCAGCAATAGTGAAGCAATGTGAACAGATTGACATCAGTCACTTTTAGATGCGATACAAGGAGTCTTTTGACTCTCACTCAACACTCCTAGGAGAGAAGGCTAGGGCACAGGACACCCATGGACTTAAAGACTCCAGAATAGAGAGACAAAAAGTACTAACAAACTTCACAGATAGAGAACCTTTAAACCGACCTGAAATTCTATCAAACAAGCTCTTGGCTATAAAATACTGGGTAAATCAGCTAGACTCCTTTTGCCCAACTTCTTATGTTCCTTATTCAAGCTGAAGTTTCCCTATGGTATCCCAATCCCCAGACTCAACATACAAAGCACATGAGCGCCCTACTCAGGCAGCATGCCTAGGAGGATGAGAAATACGACAGGCTTCCTCCCCTGGCTGGAGGCCCATGACTTCCTAAAGTCACTTTTGAATATTTATACCCTCACCCAGCCCATAAGAGACTCAAGAAAGGCAAACTATCAATCAGACTCTGGCCCCAAAGGCTGTGACACACTGCACGCAAAGCAGTGCGGAGCGGTGGCGCCCTGCCTTCGTGTGCAGTGTGTCCTCTAATTTTCTCCCCAGCATGTCAGCTTGCGATAGCTCGCATAGCTGAGTGTGCCGAGATGAAAAATCTAATCTTCAGCCAATCGGCTCGCGCGCGTAAACCCGCGCATCACGATGCGAACTCCATCCGGTTGTTATGCACGAGCCAATTTGCTGTAGATGCAGTCAATCATCTGGCTGCACTCCGTTCACACACTGCATGCGAAGCTCCGTGCCTGACAGCTTTGCTTCGCTCTGCACGGCTTTCGCATGCAGTGTGTCATGGGCTTAACAGCTTCAGAATTGACACTCTGCTTAGGGCAGTGTTACTAGATACTTGTCTTACGGATGCTTTTACATAAGAACTCCAGTAAATGCTAGTTGTATCTACAGCAGACATACCACAATACCAAATAGAATTATAATTTAAAAATGCAACACTTTCAGTCTTTAATAAGGCAGTGCAAAGTGCGGTAACAAAGCAAACAATGAGCTTTTATCTTTTCCTCAATCAACTACAATAAACTGAAATATAGTTACAATGAGTTCTTGTATTTAAATTTATATTGTTATGTAAGCTTGTCTGTGTGGAAGCATAACTATGTTAAATGCGTTCTCATGCCTCAAAATAAAATCCTCGAAATAATGGCATTTACATTTTTGTTGTTGTTTTATTAGTTTATGCTTAATATGGTTTCAGTTAGGTTAAAACGGTAAATTCCCTTAAAGCTAAACTCTAAGCAAATATAATAGACACATATTAATGCAGCTCTGTATTCGATAATACATCATTAAATGTATTTTTAAATGCAAACAGTAAGTACCTGAATTTGACCGGGGATCAGCCTCTTGCAGTCCCTGTATAGCAGAGCTGGAGTGTTAGCTAAAGAAGCAGTACAAGAAGCCAGTTAATGTGCTGATAAGAAGCATGCTGACAGTAAGGCTGGGTTCACACCTAGGCGTATCGAATATGCGCGTTTGTCGCAAGTTTCCTTGCGCGCGTTTTTACAGCGATTCGCAGTAAAAAAACGTGCGACAAACGCGCGTTTCCGAGGGCTACTTGGCTGTATCCCAATGTAAACGTGCGACAAAAACGCCCCAAAGAAGCTCCTGTACTTCTTTGGGCGTAGGGCGTTTTGTAGCGCGTTCATACGGCCTGTAATACGCCAGGTGTGAACCATACCCATAGGAAATAATGGGATTTCGGTGTTTGAGCTTTTTGCAGAGCGTTCGAACGCGCTACAAAACGCCCAGGTGTGAACCAGGCCTAAAAGTAGAGTGACAGGGAGATGACTTCATCACTGCGCTGCTTCTCCTTTCACTTTCCAGTCACAGGCTGGGTGGATCCAGAGTGACCTGAGCTCGGAGGAAGTGGGTTGAATAATGCTGGCCATAAGACTGACTACATTTAGTTGCACAAAAAAAGTACTGCGGAAGAAATCTATTGATTAAACCTGAATATTGTAGCAAAAGCTAGTTTTGATATTTTGTCTTTTAATGGGAAATTAATTTAATTTTTTTTTTTAGTTCTGCTTTGACGGATATGTAAACCTTAACTGAAAAACATTTAGTTTGCTAAAGCACTATGTAATAAACAATTGCTATTATCCATTGTTGGATAATGACATCTCGGTGGCATTGCATCCCGGTGCAGCTAACTTATTTATTGCAGGCATTTATATAGCACCAACAATTTATGCAGTGCTGCAAGGCAGAAGTCTCCTGCAGCCTCTTTACAGCCACTTCCTGTCTACATGCATGTTTTAATTGATGGCTGCATGGAATTTCTTAAGCTGGGTTACAGTAGTCACCTTTCCAGGTGTAAATGTTCTTGGAAAAAAAAAGTTGCTACAACTGTACTACAACTGGCATTGTTATAGTTTTCCCTAACCCACATCACTGTCAGTTTTTTCTTAACAGCTTGGCTTGCATGTAAGGCCTAGTTCACACAGGTGGCAGGCTGTAAACATTTTTTCTTATCCCAATGGGAATATTTTTTGAAATTACGCGGTCCCATTGATTGCAATGGTCGCAGTTGGCAAGTAGCAAATGTTGTTAAAAATTGCATGTGTACACATGGCCACTATTTTAAGTTTTAGGTGCATGTTTGGGAGGCAAAAGCGCCAATCAATCACCTGTGTTAACCGCCCTTTTGCCGTCCACATGAGTGAGGCCTAAATGTGGCACAAAACAAAGGAAAGTGAAAAAAAAAACCCCACTGAATACTGCCACTGATATTATAACACCTTATAGTTACCAGAATGCAACACATTTTACAACAGTGATCCCTTACACTGGTGCAGCACAGATATGTTGATATCTAGATAAGCTTAATAACCATGTGATAGTGAAACAGTGTAAATATCTGGCTGTTTGTCTGTGACGATTACTGCAGTCACTGGCTTTAGTGATTAACTAAACATTGTCTAGACATAAGTGTCTTATCAAGCCACCAACAAAAGCTTTTACTAGTGATCTGTTCCGTTAAAAATAACTAGGTCCTAACTAGTAAATTATGTACTCCAAGCTATGGGATCCATGTTCAATGAGATGACTAGAATAGATGATTCACCTGGGATATACAGCTCTCCTCTGTCCTCATCAGGCACTTCTCCCCAGTTTCTCTTTCCTGATTTCAAGCTGGACTTCTTCACCAGGAATGCCCTGGGCATTTTGTTCCCCCTTGAGTTCTCTTGGATTTTTCTGGTAATGCTGACAATTGTAGAGTCTTTATAGTACCATGCAGGTAGATCACTCTCTTAAAACACTGATTTTTTTTTTATAGTTCCAGGCTTTACATTTTTACACCTAATACCCTTTTTCAGGTCTGATAGTCAGAATATATTCAAATTCAAATACATACAGGGAAGTTCCTGGTTTCCAATTTTTACATTAAAAGTATCTAATTTAATATCTTCCAAATATTGTGCAAAACAAGTGGTGGCCTCCCTTTATAAAATAATAAAAATTTAGATGCACAGTCCAATACTGTGTACTTCCTTGTTATTGAAAGTGTAAGGTCCAATGACAGCAAAATCCACATGAAGAGAAATACATTTGGACAAATGTTTTGCAGGTAGTCTTCTAGATGACAGTTGCAGGACTTAAATCTAGTCCATGTATCTTGACTGGATGTTTTGATCAACCATGCTTCTAGATAAAATGCAGAAAAGGTGACTAGATGAAATCTAATTCCATATTTTACCGGGTTCAAAGATGCTTGATCCAAATTCTCTGTACAGACTGATAGAAGTATTCTAAAGGTCAACTTGGGACTGATAAAAATCCAATTCTTTTGAAGTTTGGGAGGTTTGTAGATAAAATCTTTGTGAGTTTTTCTACTCGGTGACTTCTTCCATAGATGAAACGTGCATAGGTGAAGTATGAGTGTCTGCAGAGAAGATACCAGTTGTGAAATAACGGTGGGGGGTGGATCCACCTCTGTATTATTTTTTTGTCATCATCTTCTTTTGACCTGTTCGACCGGTTTGTAAACTGCTTGGAGTAAGGTGGAAACGCTTCAGGGAGGAGATGAAGATTGGTAAGGTGGGGACATGGCTTCTGGGTGGGAGAAAGAAAGGACCCACACCCTGACCTGCATACAGATTGCCACATGAGAATCAGGTAGCTCTGGAAGGGAGTATGTGCATGAGCCTGTTAGAAGGGTGTGTGAGTTTGTGGTGTAAAAACAGTGACACACACTTGCATAGTATTTGTATGTGGGACATATCACTGTCATCTCCTAATATATTTCAATAATGTCTCTTCCAAACAAAAAGGATACATGCTTTGTAAAATAAAGAGCCCTTGTCTACTAGATTGTAAGCTCTTATGGACAGGGCCCTCCTTACCATCTTGTCTTGATTTGCATTGTAACTGTAATGTCTTCCTTATAATATAAAGTGCTGTGCAAACTGTTGGGGCTATATAAATCCTGTATAATAATAATAATAATAATAATAATACTGCTACATAACAAAGCACACACCTGGCATGCTTTAATGCACAGAGATAACAGCCACCCTATCATCTTCTTATATACTCCTCCAAGCTCAAACTTATGGGGGGACATGTTCTACACCCATCTCAATATCGCCATATCATCCAAAGGATAACATTCAAAATATTAACAACCACTTACAAAGCCATTCACAACTCTGCCCCAGGTTATATATCCAACCTTGTCTCAAAATATCACCCTAAACATCCCCTCCACTCCTCCAAAGACTTCCTGCTCCCCAGATAGCAAGGACAACTTGCCACAAACTTGTAGCAGGGTTAAATTGTAATTCTTGTTAACTTACTGCACACATTCCTGGCAAGTTGTAGACTTGCAGAACACTTGCAGCACAAGTTCTAGTTAACACTTTTTGAATCTGTAGCAAATTCGCTTGGCAAATCTACAGCAAGAGTCCTGCAGGTCTTAGCAAGAGCTCTGCAAGTGTACAGCACTTTTTGCAAAGCACGTTGATCTGGTTGCCCCTTACACCGCCAGGTCCCCCGTCCCCCTGCACGGTCCGTTCACAAATCCTGCACAGCCCCCCTGAGACCCTGCAGTCTCAGGGGGCTGTGCAGGATCTGTGGTGGGCTCCGCCCACCATAGATCTTACAGAGCTCACCACAGATCCTGCAAAGCCCCCCGTAGATCCTGCAGAGACCCTGCAGGATCTCAGGGGGGCTCGGCAGGATCTGTGGTGGGCTTTGGAGGCTGCAGAGCCCGCTATGAATCCTGCAAATCCCCCCTGAGACCCGACAATGCCCCACACAGATCCTGCAGCATCTCAGGGGGTTGTGCAGGATCTGTGGTGGGCTTTGCAGGCTGCAGGGCTCCCTATAAATCCTGCAAAGCCCCCCTGAGACCCGGCAAAGCCTTCCACAGACCCTGCGGAGACCCCCTGACACCCTGCAGTCTGCAGGATCTCAGGGGGGCTCGGCAGGATCTGTGGTGGGCTTTGCAGGCTGCAGGGCTCCCTATAAATCCTGCAAAGCCCCCCTGAGACCCGGCAAAGCCTTCCACAGACCCTGCGGAGACCCCCTGACACCCTGCAGTCTGCAGGATCTCAGGGGGGCTCGGCAGGATCTGTGGTGGGCTTTGCAGACGGCAGAGCCCCCTCGGATCCTGCAGAGCCCACCAAAGGGTATTGCACAGCCCACCTGAGACTCTTTGGTGGGCTGTGCAGAATCTATGCTGGGCTCTGCTAGCACAGTCCTCTTACCTTGCACGGCCTGCCCTCTTTGGAACACGGCCTCCTCATCCTTGGCGCTTGACACGGCCTCTTTGTTATCTTCGCCACCCGACTGGAGCTCCGTCTTCGTCCCCCGCCTCTTCCGTCTCCAGGGGCCACTCGACAAATGTTTTCTCTCTTGGGGGTTGCTTGTCAAATTTCATACTTTAAAATAAAATATAACTATATCCGGTTTGGTACTACAGACACCAATATACACTGACAATAAGGCCCCTTTCATATCCGTAGGTTTATATGCATACGTCACTTCCGCCTATCAGCCTTCAGAGCAGCGTCGCTGATGGGGCCCCAGCTTGTCTCAAAGCCGCTGGAGCGGAACTGCTGGGGCCCCATGCTGCTAGAGCCAGGCCTCCACCGCTGCTGCTGCGGGGGCCCGGCCACCTCCTCGCCTTTCACCGTCGGCCAATACTCATGTAACTGTCCTGGGCGGGCCCCTTACATGAGTATCGGCCGCCCCCCCCCTGACGGCGGCCCTGCTTGCAATGCAGACTTGCTGTAATTGTGCAACACAATTGTGCAGTTTGGCAAATCTAGCAATAGTTTTAGCAAGTAATTTTCAAACTTGCAGCTCAATTGCTTGCTATCTGGGTCTCTAGCTCCCTTGTCAACTCCTCCCATGCTCACCTCCAGGACTTCTCTAGAGTCTCTCCCATTCTTTGGAACTCCTTACCCTAACTTGTCTGTCTATCTCCCACTCTTACTGCCTTTCGGCGATCACTTAAGACTCATCTCTTTAGGGAAGCCTATCACACTTCAAACTGACCTGAGGGGAAGTGCTTGTACTTGTACTTGGGCCTGAAAAAGTGGCATTGGGACATCCCTAATAAATATACATATTGCCTAACAGCCTCATCACAGGACCTTCAGAAGCTCTAAAAATACAACAAACCTTCATAGAACGTACTCTGTGACAATCACAGGTAAACCCAGGGAGGCTGTAGATATTCACTGCTTCAATAAAGTGGTTGCCCAATGAGATGTTGTTTCTCCACCTTCTACACAGATCCTGGTCTTGGTGCTCACTTTTAGATATACTATCTAGCAACTGAATGAAGATGAAGTCCAGGATCACAATCAGAAATCTCCATGTATTGACTCTGACTTTGTAACTTGGTGACAAAATAGAAGCACAATTGGGAGACAAGGACATTACATTGTCACCCAATAACAGGAAATGCCTGAACAAGTATTGAAGTTGACTCTTGAAAATTACCATGTTAAACCTGCTTTGACTGCACATTTTGCTGGGAAAAAAAAAGAAATTGTGTGAAATAACTGATGGGTGGATCATGAAGGTACCACTGTGTTTACATGCCAGGGAAAAGGAAAGGTTAATTATAGTATATGACTTAGTTTATAACTAAGTGATATTAAAGTCAAAATGTTTTCAATTTATTTTAAATGCATTGTAAATGCTTACAATGGATTCTGCTCCTTGATGTTCAAAAGCTTGAGTTTCCTGCAGAATCCGCTGATCCTGATATCCTGTTTTAGGGTGGTTCCTTTCCCTTGGAAGGTTCCTATGGAGTCACCCTTGAATATACTAGTAAGCTGTGTGTATCCACAAACAAACAGGAATGGCATGGTAAACCACTCCCCTGCTCCCCACTACTCCCTAGTAGATGAACAGCTGTTGCTGAATGCTCTGTCCCCTGTGTGAATTTAACAGGAAGTTCAGGGATGTGGAAATAAAGGTGCCAGCTGTTTTTAAATATGATGACTTTATGTGTTTGGGCAAAAAGTTTGAGAGTTTAATACTACATTAAGGGAAGCCTAAATTTGCAGAAAAATGGAGGCTACTATTGCTGACCTCACTAGCTGCTTGTTTTTTTTACCCACAATGCACTCTAAAAGACAAACCCGAAACAAGTGTGTAGAAGTCAGAGTGAAGAAAGGGTGCCTAATTTGCACATTTGTTCCAGTTCAGTGAAACATAAAGTATTGAAGCTATTGGAACAGTATGACACTCAGACAAGTATAATTTCCAAGCAAAGAAACTCGGCCATCCTAGAGTTTGTGTTAAACTGAAAAAGAGATTAATTTGTTTGTGGAACAAAAAAAGGAAAATTAAAAGCGCCAATTTGCCTTTATAGCTATAAGAATTGTGGAGAAATCAATCTTTACAGCAGAAGCACTGAAATCCTAGCTATTTTGCTAGGGATGCACCAATACTCGTATTGGTACTGAGTATTTGGGCGAGTACTCGTATTTGTCCAAATGCTCAGATACTTACCTTGATACCAGAACTTCTGGTCAGAGGGAGATTACCAATAATGAAATATTTCACACTCGGCAATGTCCAATCATATTCTCTGTGCTTTGCAATCATAAAAGTGCTCAATCCTCCATAAATGTGATCGAACAGGAATCATGTATCAGGTGAGCCCTCTCTCTGAAATGGATAGACTGCTGTGGACCAACTAAAGGTCAATACGTGCATCTGATATAAATCCACTCCCTATGGTATTCTGTCTCTTTACACCACACCTCCATCTGGGATCTCTCTCAGTAGT